TTTTTTTTTGTCTTTCTGAGACAGGGTCTTGCTATGCAGTTCAGGCTGGCCTTGAGCTCACTTTGTAGACCAGGATGGTTTTGAATTTGGAACAGTTCTGCCTCAGCCTCCTGAGTGCTGGGATTACAGGTATGTGCCACCACACCCAGCTCTAGAGTTTATATTTTTAAAAACAATTCTGATTAGCTTTTAAAAAATTTAAATAGGCAATGATTATTACACTTTAGGCTCTTTGAATTAGATAACTTTAGGAAACTGAAAGAAGAAATATCTAGCATACAGGTCAATGTAGTTGATTATTATTCCTAGTAATAGCAACCACTTATTAAGCACTTTGTGAGTTCTCTGCTGAGAGTTTCTTATACATAACTTCATTTACTTTTGACAACAAAAATATCAATTAGGGTACATTCTTTTGCCCATTTTATACATGAAGTGATACATAGGAAAGGTAAATTTGCCACAAGACAAACTCAGATATGTTTGACTACAAAGACTGATCTTCCCTAATAAAGCTATAAAAATAATTAGAAACTCCAGATTCTTATTTACTCCAACATAAATGACTGCTAACTTCAAGCTTTTCTCTTTAACTGATAGAAATAACATAATTCATCTAAAAGAAATTTGGTGTATGCCAGGTACAGTCAAATTCACCATAATTTTATTATTTTCCTCTTTTGCGGGTGAAGAAGCTGAGTCAGAAGAAATGAAGTAACTTGTCCAATATCACACAATAGGCAAGATTCAACTAAAGAGAGTCTGACTTTAAAATTTGTATTTTTTTTAATTCGTATTTTAAAAAGCTTTTATATGACCCAGCAGTCCTCTTACTAGGTATATATTCAAAAGGAATGAAATTGGTATGTTGAAGAGATATGTGTATTCCTATATTTACTGCATCTTTTTTTTTTTTTTTTTTTTACAGTAGCTAAAGTGTGGAACCTAAATGTCCCTCAGTGGATGAATGGATTAAAGCAAAGAAAATGGAGGATATGTGCGCCATGGAATATGGAGCAATGCAGCCTTGAAAAAGGCAATCCTGCTTTCTAAGACAGCATGGATGAACCTGAAATACACTATGTTAAAAGGAAGAGAGAGACAAATACCACCTGATCTCACTTATATGGAAATCTAAAAACGTGGAGGTCAGAAGAGAGAACAGAATATTGGTTTCCAGTGCGGGAAAGGAGAGATGTGGGGAAAATGTTTCTCAAAGGGCACAAAATTTCAGTTAGAAAGAATAAGGGTAGGAGATCTATTGTGTTTTTGGAAATTTCTGAGAGAGTAGATTGTGCTTTCATCACCAAAAAGTATATGAGGTAGGGGCTGGGGATTTAGCTCAACGGCACAGCGCCTGCCTGGCAAGCGCAAGGTTGTGAGTTCAATTCCTGGTATCAGAAGAAAAATAGACAAACAAACAAATAAAAAAACAAAAAACCCCAAAAGTATATGAGGTAATAGGTATGTTAATGGGCTCAATTTAGCCATTCCACAATGTGTACATATTTCAAAACAATGTGTTGTACAGGATAAATATGTATACATTTTATTTGTCAATTTAAAAAGTCAAACTCTATTTTATTTTATTATTATTATTTGGCCTTTTTGAGACAGGGTCTAGCTATGCAGTTCAGGCTGGCCTTGAGCTCACTTTGTAGCCCAGGTTGGTCTTGAACTCACACTGATCCTCCTGCCTCAGCCTCCCGAGTGCTGGGATTATAGGCATGCGTCACCACGCCCTGCAAAAAGTCAAACTTTAAAAAAGGACAATAAAAATAATTCAAATACCTGATATGCTACATAGTCTTTGGTTGATCCTGATGCAGAAATCCTATTTTAATTTCTGTGGAATCCTTCAGAGCATATCTTGGTGTGAATATGTCTCTTATTTTTAGAAAAGCTCTTCTATTCCACCTTTTTGCTATTAGATTGAAGCTTATGAAATTATTGCTATTCAAACATTTTTGATAAAATGGTAATTTTTTTTAATTGTTTGATGTAACGTACTAATCTTTTCTTACTCTTTCCTTGGTTTTGTGTTTCGTTTTTTTTTTTTTTGCTGAAACAGGGTCTCACTATGTAGTCCAGGATGGCCTTGAACTCACTATGTAACCCAGCCTGGCCTTTAACTCAGTGCAGTCTTTCTGCCCCAGCCTCCCAGGTGCTGGGATTACAGGCATGTACCACCATACCCGGCTCTTTGACTTCTTGAAAACCCCAAATACTCTTTCATTGTTCAAATCTTTCACAGCTCTGTACATCCTAGTACACAAGAGTAATATCACACAAAAAAATTAATTTGGGCCCCACCTCTAATATAGGCCCAATGCTTTCTGATCTGCTAATTTTGAACAGTTATGTATTGTTATGTTGTATTGTAATAATAGAGGACCACAGGAAAGTTAGCTGTGATTCTAGTGCCTTGGAGACTGAGTATATTGTCTCTTTTATTTATGCAGGTTTGAAAGAAACAAGCCCAAGGCAAAAATAAAGTTGGAAAAATTTTCAAAGTAAGCTTGTTCTTTCAACATTTTTTCAATCAGTATGTATTCAGTACCCACAGGGTGCTGGCACTATGTGAAGTGCTAGGGAATAGAAAGATGGGGAAAAAAATCATCACCTTGGGCTTAGAAGAACTTGAACAATTTACGTATGGAATTAAGCTTGCTTTGTAATTTTCTGGCTTCTAATTATCTGCCCTTAAGGAGACTTACACAGGAAACCCTGACAGCAGTTATTTCTCTTGCACTGTATTGTGGACTAATTTTACAAATTACCAATTAGATTTTTTGAAATACTAGTTGATAGTTCACAAAATAATTTCTCATGATAAAAGTCATACAGATCGAGCCAGGGATTTATCTCAGGGGCACAGCGCCTGCCTGGCAAGTGCAAGGTCCTGGGTTCAACTCCAGGCACCAAAATAAATAAGTAAGTAAGTAAGTCATATGGATCAAGTGACCGCTGATCTAGACTTCATTTCTTAAAATTGCAAGTGGCTGCCAAAAAGGCATCCCGAATTCTCTGGTTGCTCAGGCTGTTTTGTCTCGAAAACCTGGGCTCCTTCATGCTTTGAGGCCTCTAACCACATCAGAAGACTTTACCCTTGGGGCTGAGGAAAGAGAGAGACCAAGCCTGTCCTTGCCCTGACTTTTTCCTTCAAGTGGGAGTGATGCACATTTCAGAATTGTCAACATCTCAGATTATTTATTCCAGGTGCTTCTTTTTTTCACATACATATCATTGACTTAATAATTCGGCAAATGCTTACTGAGAGCCTGCTTGCACACCAGGCCCAAAGCTACACAATGAGGATGTGACAATGGACAGAACACATCCCTTGACCTGGAAGGGCTCACGCTGCAGAAGTGTAAGTCATTATAAAATACGGTAAACCCTAAAATACAGAAGAAGAGGTGCTTATAACCTGTAAGACTAGGCACAGGTGGCATCAAAGAATGTTTACTGAGGAAGCAACGTTTGAGCTGATGCTTCAAGGATAAGTGGGCATTGTCAAGGGCGAACACAAGAGGAAAAGACACTGTAAAAGAGGAGCATATGTTTATTTATTTATTTATTGAGACAAGGTCTTGCTATGAAGTTTAGGCTGGTCTTGAACTCAAGGCAGTCGTCCTTGTTCAGCTTCTCTAGTGCTGAGATTATAGGTGGACCCCACCATGCCTGGCCAAGAATAAAAATTGTACACACTAGTCTGCTCATATGTGTGCAAATCTATTGGAAAAGAAGATAATGACAAGATTATGAAACATGTTAAGGGTATGAAGAGGAGGTTAGACTTCACCATGAAACAAACTAGAGAAAAGTCTTAATTTAGTAGCGTGATCATCAAATTTATATTTTTGGAATATCATTCTGTTTTCAGAGTAGGGTTATATGTCCCCTTCAAAGCCTCATGCTCTCTTAGGTAGGCTTCTGGGAGGTGACTGGGTCATGGCCGATGACCCTCATCAGTGGATTTGTCTATTGATGAGTTCGTAGCCAGATGTGCTGCTGGGAGGGGAAGCCTGGTGGGAGGAGGTAGGTCACGGGGGGGCGGGGCCTGGCCCAGAAGCGTCCCTCTCTCTCCTCCTCCACTGATCTCTCTGCTTCCTGCTGCCTGCCATTTCTCCTCTGCCATTCCTTTCTGCTAGCCTGCCCTGCCCAGGACCTAGCGGGGACTATGGACTGGAACTTCTACAAACTATAAGGCAAAATAAACTTTTCATCCTTAGAGTGGTGGGTGTCAGGTTTTTTGTCTCAGCAATGAGAAAAGTAACTAAGAAAAATGGAGAGTGACCTGGTTGTTAATGGCATTAGCACAGGGGTAGCAGGTAGGTTTTCCAAACTGGAGGATGAGATGTGTGAAGTAGGAACCCAGTACAGTATGCGAGCATTGAGAGAGGGTAACCTATGATGACTTCCAGGTTTCTGACTGAATCGATTATGATAATACATATTTCATTAATTTTAAGAAATATGCTTTTAAGCCAGGCATGGTGATGCACACCAGTAATCCTAGCACTCCGGAGGCTGAGGCAGGAGGATCACAATGAGTTTGAGGCCAGCCTGAGCTATATGGCAAGACCATGTCTCCATGAAAAAAGAAAGCTTGCTTTTTTCACATTTTAGCATTTCTGAAATTGAGATCAGTCTAATATATGAGGGTTTGTTTATCTAATTGACAGTGTTGGTTTTTTTCCTTCTCTGTGATAGAACAGATAATAGTACATCATCCTCGTGTACCATTACCAAATCTAAAGATCCTTTTAGTATAACATGGGAAATAAAATCAGCAAATTCTCAAGAGGAAGATTTGGGCAAGAGGGAGACCGTCATCACCTACAGGAGAAAATGTTTTCAATGCCTTGTGTGTGGTAAGCATGCTCTCTTCCACTGAGCTATAACCCCAGTGCAAGCATGGTGCTTTTAATCACTTCATACTGCATTATTCCTTAAAACAAAAGCCATATTCCTGTACTGCTACTTGAGGTGACCTCAGCACATGGAGTACTGACTGACGGAAGCAGATGAAATTTTCTCCTTGGCTATCTGGACATCAGTGGGTGGAGGTCAGGCTGCAAGTATACAAGCTCTGGCCTCACCTAGAAATCTGGACTTGCAAGAGGGTCATCTATTAAAGGTTTACATTGACTCATCTGTGGAATTTGGCATCTTGCATGGTTAGACATCAATTATTAACAAAAGTCTTACTATAAATGAGTATCTCCATATCCTCAATCTTGTAGTACCTCAGCAAAATACTTTACTCTATCCCCTGTGCTGGTTAGGGTGGAGTTTCAGCTGGACTGGCCTTGGGATCTGCCCAGGGAATCAGCACAGCACACGTGTAGGCGTCTCGGTGGGTCTCACAGGTGTGGCCTTGGGGCCTGTTTGGTCTCTCACCCCTTTCCCCCGGCACTCTTCTGCTTTGCTTCCAAGCTGCCATGTACTAAACAGCTTTGCCCCACCATACATTTCCACCTGGATATTTCTGCCTTGGAACCAGCTGACCGTGGACTAAAATTGAGTCAAATCAAGCCTTTCCTCCTTTAAGTTGTGGATGTCTTGGTACTGTCCAGTGACAGAGAAGCCACAGTCCTGTGAGCAGAGGGCTTCTGTTTTAGTGCTGAGCTAGTCCCCATACTTCTATCCTTCTCATCACATAGCCCCCGGAGTGGTCATGTAAAATAAACATTTCATGTCACTTCCCCGCTCAAACCCTTCCACTACTGTCAGTCACTATCAGGATAAACTCAAAATGTGCCTCAGCCTGTAAGGTCCTGTGTGAGTGAGGCTGCCCACCTGGCTGACCTGATCGCTCCTCACACTCCCCTCTTACTCCTTTCTGGGCAAACCTGCCTTCCTGTTGAACTTTTCACTTCCCCATTTGCCCTCCTCAGGACCAGGGCCTGCCCAGTTCTCTGCCTGAAGGTCCCTCAAGATTGTCCCTGTGCTGTCTTGCTTTGTTTGGGCCTCTGTCACGTGTCACTGACCCCAAGAGGTGCTGCCTAAATGCTGTCCAGTGCCCACACCACCACTGTCCTCACTTTCCCGAGCTTCATTTATCTTCACTGTGCAGAAGTATAACCTGAAGTTAAAGATTTAATTTTTTTACACCACTATAGTATAAAATATAGAGGACTTTATCTTATCCTGGAGTTGGGCTTGGCACATAGTAAGTTTACAATAATAAATACCCATTAAGTGGGTTCTATACTATTGAAGCCCTGAACTAAGTGTCATTGTACTAGAAAAGTCTATGCCGTTCTATATGTCCATGATGGCCTCAGTGTCTCTCAATGAAGCAATGAAAGATCCGTGTGCACAGATCTCAAGGCTTTATACCAAGATTCAAACCTCTTGCCTTGGTTGATTAAACTGGGGATTGGTTCACAGGACCCAAAAACTAATACCTCAGAGGCTTACATCTCAAAGTATGATACAGTGTCAGCATCTCTGAGTTTGTTAGAAACACACTAGGTATCTCAGACTTCACTTGAATTAGAATGGTTGTGTGTGTGTGCGCGTGTGCGCGTGTGTGTGTGTGCATGTTTTGTTTTTGGTGCTGGGAACTGAACCTAGGGCATCACACAGTCTAAGCATATGCTCCACCACTGAGCTTACTCCCAGCATTTTAACAGATCCATAGGTGATTTTCAGTACACTGGAATTGAGAAGACTAATCTATAGCACTATTTTACAATTTGCAGAGTGATGAAATCAACTCAGCACATGAATCACAACTATTACTTTCTTAATGTATAGAGTAATAAGAAATAGGATAATCTTGATGAACAGTATTAAATATCAGAGCCAGGCATACCTGTAATCTCAACCCTCTGGTAGGCTGAGGCAGGAGATCACAAATTTGAGCCCAGTCTGAGTAACTTAATGAGTTTCTGCTTCAAAATAAAAAATATAAAAGGGCTGGAGGTATAGAGCTCAGTGGTCGACTGCCTCTGGGTTTAATTCCCTGTACCCCCAAAACAAACCAGAGTGTAAAACATGTAGTTTAAGTATTACTTTAAGAAAGCACATGCATGTATGTATAAGATCACATGAAAGATATTTATCACTGTGGGTTACAGTCAGATACTTGGTAGCTCTGATCCACAGAACAGTCTGGAACGTGAGGTGAGAACTAACCTATGGGGAAAGCAATACAGTGCAGGGGCAACTGAATCAATCAGGTGTTCTTTTTCTTTTTCTTTCTTTCTGGATTTTAATTCAATATAACCCGAGGACTATGAGCTAGGAAGAAGTAGAGAGTGAAACAGGAGGTGATCAATGGTCATGAGAATGGGAGATCATTGAATCTGCTCTTATAGTTTGCATTACATTTTAATTCTTCAAGCCTGGCCTTTCACTTGCTGCCATGGGTTCCTTTCTCCCTCGCTTTTCCATATCATTTCAATAAATCTTCATCACCAGTCATGCAAAAGTTGAGTGTAAAGCTCTCCCTCGCAATGTGCAGGAGACCAGAACACTGGCCATTGCAATATAAAATGATTTGAGAAGCCCGTCTCTGATATCTAGAGATGCCCTTGAGACTGGAGAATCTGTGCCATGCTGTGAGAACTGCTGTCCTAAGCAGTGTGTAACACTAACTTTGTTTTAGTTAACCTCTCTTGACCTAGTCACTGGACTAAATTCATTTCTCAAATGACTGGAAATCAAGCAGGTAGGAAAAGGTATTTGAGGTGACTGTGTGTAAAACCTAGCATATTATATAAGCTTCAGAACATACAGAGCTGAACACTTGACCCTGGTAAAGGATTTAAAATTACATTTTAAGAAACCACAACAAAATAAGACAAGAAAACTAATGTGCTGATTAAGAGGAACCTGAGAGCTGGTGGCTACCAAGCTGAGTCCGGTGTTAGGTAATCTTTGGTGTTGCTCCCAGCTCTCTGATCCTAGGTTAGACTAAGTGGGTGAGTTAAGTGATTCACTTAAGTGAATGTTGATGACCAGCTATCATCAAAGTACTTCACACCACAGAAAACTTTATGTTCTTTCTTCGTTTTCTCTCTTGATTGTATGGAAATTTTAAAACATTTAAGATGACTCAGAAGACAGATATGAAAATTTTCTTATTTTAAAAATGTTGGAAAAGTACTGTGAAACATTTCTTACTCATCTCTTAACAGTTGAATCTACTAATTTTGAGCTCTACAGCTAGGGAGGAAAGCTAAAATATCAAAGTGAAATCTTTATTAAGTGTATTTATTCACAGCTGTCACTTACCAATGGATTTGAAAATTATTTATATATTATTTGCATGTCTAAGATTAAGGCCTTTCATTTGGTATTTGCAATGGCTCCTATCAAATGAGCGCTAGGATTTAGAGAATTAAACCAAAAGGATTGTTTTGTTTTGAGAAATTTTTTCCAGATGATTAAAAATGTCAGTTTTGTCGTATTACAGGAAGGATGTGAAATACCACTTGAATTCAGCTCTTCGTTTCTACCCCTGACACCTGAAAGAAAAGTAAACAGAGATGAAAATACCTGAAAACCAACAATTGGGGGCGCTACAGATGTCCTTACTGCAACACATGTACTATTAATAACAGAGTTAGAGGGTGACAAGGACTTTGGGATATCTTAAGAAAAAAGTAAAAAACAAACAAAAACCCATAAAAATAAAATACAAAGAATAAATTTTAACCATAATGGGTGATAGAATTTTCATATAAATCCATGAACATAATATTTTGTAGTAATATATTTTGAAACTACTTATATTCATCATCTTTTCAAGGCCTGATGCACATGTCAGACTAACTAAAGCCTTTCATTTGTTCAACAAATACTGCTGATAAAAAAAAATCACATAGGGTGAACGAATTACCTAATATTACTGTATCTTTTTAAGAAAGATACAGTCAACATTACCGTATCTTTAAAAATCAGTTATATGTATGGCATTGTGGAATAGGAAATTAAAGCCTGTGTGTAATCTCAAAGCAATTTTCTACACAGAAAATCTTGAGTGTTGCTACATTAGACAAGTAGATTTTTTTTACATGTTTGAGAAAAATGAACCTAAATGAAAGCCAAAGTTTTGCTAATTAAGGCATTAAAAGTTACTGTACTGCAAGGTATCTTTTCCTATTCTTGCTCACCAGTTTCATTATTTACCAGTATGTGTATTAAATGTTCAGCAACTAAAAGCAATAAAGTAAAATTTTTGTCATTCAAATTTCCTTTTGCATAGTTTCATGTCTGTGTAGCCTGTCATCCAACATTTCAGACAAACTTATTGTGTAAAAATTTTAGAATCACATTAGAATGATCAAAAGCATGAGAAGAAGAGTAATTTGTAACTGCACTGTCAAGGTTTGCTGTTATTGAATGCTCAATTTCCGAATATCCTATGATAAATCCTCATTACCAGAAAGGCCTGTGCATGAACCTCTTCATTTTCAAGAACTTACTCCCTGGTAAATAGCAACATTTTGATGATTAAAAACTTCTCAATGGAGACCCCTGTTTTGAGCTATGACAAAAAGTTTGCATTGGCATACCACTCCCATTAATGTCAGCTGTAAGTAAAGGATCTTTATCATCATTATTATTCAGCCAACATGATTAGGTGACAAAAATGAATAAAAATAAAAACTGGAAAGAGAAAAGCATAACGATTTTTGTTTACTAATGTTATATGATTGTTTATATAGGTAACTCAAGAGACTAAAGTAAAAACTGTTAGAAATAAAGAATTACAAGTTAATATATGGAAGCTAATGACTTTTATGCAAACCAAAAGAAAAAAGCTAAGAATAAGTAAAATATACAGGAAATTAGAAAGATTTTATGCAGAATATTAAAACACTAGTAAGGAATCTTTAAAAAGATATATAAAATGCCATAAGGTACTCTTATTCCGGACAAGACAAAGTTATTAATTTTCCCTAATTTAAGCTGTACATTTGGTGTAGTCCCATAAAAATACAAATATGACTTATTTTAGAACCAGGTAAACTGGCTCTAGGATTGAAATGAGAAGCAAGCAAATGTAAGATGCAGGGAAAGTCTAAAACAATAAGTAAATAAAATGAGATGTAATTTTTTATCAGATGGTAAATATATTTTATAAGTGAAAACATTGTGAAATGTGGCACTGATAAATGACTACAACAGTGTCTGGCATATTTAATACATATATGTTGAATAAATTAGCGGTTAAGTCCATGAAATTAGAAAAAAAAATACAAATTGGAGCCAGGCATGGTGGCTTGTGACTATAACCATTGGGGTTACCCTGGGAGACTGAGGCAGGACCCCTGTAAGTTTGAGAGCCTCGGTAAGATCTTGGCTCAAAAATAAAGTTTTAATGGGGCAGGGGTACTGGGTATGAAGCTCAGTTCAAAGACCCTGGGTTCCCCCCCCCGCCTCTCTCTGTCTCTCTCTCATTCTCTCTCCTTTTCTCTCTGTGTTTAATTTAAGATAGGGACTCACTATATAGCACAGCCTGGCCTTGAACTCACAGTGATCCTTCTGCCTCAGCCTCCTGAGTGCTGGAATTACAGGCGTGTATTTCCCCACCCCACTTTCTCTCTTTCATTTAGATCCCTCCAGGTGCTCTTCAACTTCTCTCCCAGCTTTACTCTTCTCCACAGCACTTATCGCCATTGGATGCACTATATATATTTCACTGCTTGGTGGGGCTTTGTCTCTCCTTTCTGCACCCCTCTGTTAGAATATTAATTTTCACAAATACATATTTTGTGTATGTTCTCTACGCCTGTATCTGCACCACCTTTTGAGTGCCTGGCACATGGTAGACACTGAATAAAAACTTGTCAAATTAATGAATAAAAAAATGAATCAATACAGAAAACATTCAAAAATTTATGCTTAGAGTGAAATAGTATTCTATTGTGTTAAAAATGATGGAAAAATTCATATAAATATGTATTGTATCAGTCTGTATTCTCTAGAGGAATGAAATAAATAAAATATATGTACAATTATAGAAGGGAGTTTATTAAAAGTCAGATTCCAAGATCAGAGGCAGAAGAGTCCACAATGGTCACCTGCATACTGCAGATGCTGCTCAGCCCAAGAAGCTGGAAGCCTCAGAACAAGAGAAATCAACGATGCAGCATCAGTCCAAAGTCAAAGGCCTGAAGTTCACTCTAGCCACTGTTGCAAGTCTCCATTGTAAGGCTGAAGAAATGAGAGACTGATGTCCAAGGGCAGTGGTGAAGATTGGAGCTCTTCCAAAATGGGGACACTTCTTTCTTCTTTCTCCTTTTTTTTGGGTACTGGGAATCAAACTCAGGACCTTGTGCTTGCCAGGCAGGTGCTTATGCCACTGAGCCATATCCCCAGCCCCCTTCTTTCTCTTTTTATGCCACCCAGGCAGCAAGACTATTGGTGGGTGCATCCACATCTGGGCGGGTCTTCCCCCTCAGTTTGTCAGTCATTCACAAACACACACCCAGAGCTGTGCTTCACTAATCTGGCAGGTGGGTCTTATTCAAGTCAAGTTGACACATCACAGTTAATGGTCACAGTCCACCCCTTGTCCACTGACAATTAGACACATCTCCTTAAACCATAATGTGCTAATTTCCTCCTGGGAATAAAAGGCAAAAAATTTGGAGGCAGGGAGGTGATGCTTACTGTTTCCCTGACATTCCATAACTTAAATATTATAATGTTATAATACTTAAGTATTTATATTGTCAACATTATGTCAAAAAGAAAGAAAACAAAGACATTTGCTTAATATATGTGTATGTGTACACAAGTATATTAATAAAATAGGAAAGAAATACTCATGAGAATTACAATCTCGTTTCTATAGGTGGTCATAGCTAGTATTTATAATTACCTTCTTGTACTACCCATTCTGTACTCCTGTGGCCTTCAACAAGCACCTCAGCAGATCTTGGTTTTTTTTTTTTTTAACCTGGTGTGGTGCCCTATACCTTTATTCCTGAAGTTCTGGGCCATTTATCATCTTGCCTGGATTGGGTTGTTGTCATTTCCCATGGACCTTAACAAGAGGTCATGGTAATACAAGAAGACACCTTAAGGGATTTCCTGCACTCCAAACATGTTCATTCTTACCTCCACTGTGGAGTACTAGTCTGACTTTCCCTTGGTAGTCCATACCAATCATCCTAACTGTGTGCCATTTGGAAAATATTTATACACAGAGCACTTTCCCTACACCAGACACTGTGATACAGTGACACAGACTCATTAAGGAAACCAAACTGTGTTTTTTTTTTCAGTCTAGTGATTCTGAGTCTTTTTCTGATTATGAAGTCCTAACATTTTGATGAAATCCAAACAAATTTCATAAAATAACATGCAGATACTGAGTGGTTTACAGTTTGTTTTTGCATGGAAAATTAATTCCCTCAATACATAATCTAACAACGGGCTCTAAAATCAGACATATATGTACTAAAATACTCAGAATTATCACATACTAGCTGTATAATACTGAAGAGGTTAGGTAATCTCTTCATGCCTTTTTCTGATCTGTGGGAAGAAAGTAATATTAATTCTGCTTTCATGGAATTATTTAAAAGGTTGAAATATGCACTATATGAAATGGTTAGCACAGTGCCAGCTTGTAGTAGGCAAATAAAATCCAACCACAGTAATTATACAAAACATTGTTTACTCATTTAAATTAAATCCAAGTATGTCAATATAATAAAAGTGAAATTTAATTTTGCTCAATAGTAAAATAGCAGTGAAAGATTGCTTTTTATCTGAATAAGAATTTGTGTTATTATCTATGGCATCCAGTTGACTTCATCTTTTTTTTTTTTTTTTATTGTAGGGAATGCAGAAGAGCATGGGCTCATATATATCAATACTCCAAGATGGGGCTGAATTCATCATTATCACGTATAACAATGGACTCATTTTGGCGAGGTATATGTCTTTGAAGCTTTTTTTGGAAGCCAAAAAGGATGATGAATTTAAGTTTAATTTGAGTAGAAGTAATACTCAAGAGAATTCTGTGGTGGTTTTAGGTATTGAAGACTTTTGATTGCAGAGAAACTAAGAGTCAGTAGGCTTCCAATCAGGGAAAGCCCTTCTTCCACATCTGAAATTTTATATCATCTCCACTTTTTGAAGGGGTGCCGGAGCTGTGAGTTAGCGCGGTTTATTTTAGCAACATTCATAATGGTCTGTGTACGATCTTTGATGCAAAGAATTACCTTAGTCTCATGATCAAAACTATCTACAGTGTACCAAATCTGCATGAGTTCCCAAATTTTTCTGAGCAGACCTTTCCCTGCCCCCATCCCCCCATAGGATTCAGTCACAAACTTTAAGATTTGTTAGTTCAAAAGTCAGTGGGATAACTGCAATAGGGAAAACTTTCTATTCTCATCCTTCTTCTGGAGAAAATTTCTTGAAAAACCTGAAGTCCAGACTGAGCTCTGATAGAGCTGATGACGGTCGCCAGCAGAAGACAGACTCCTTTCACAATTGCTGGCATAGCCCAATTCCTCTTGATGGTGAGAGTAATGAGTCATGCCAATGCATGGACTGCCTTCAGGAAAGCAGCCAAACAGGTGTGTTAATAGGCTTTGTGGGTGCTTCATTTGTGTAGATGTCCCATCTTGACAAAGACACTTTTCCACCATTTGGAAGATGACAGTGGTTTGTGAAGTTTCCAAAGGGAGTTTAGAAAAATTGGAATACTACTTCAGTGGCACTGGCATCGCCGTATAACTGAATAATGCTACGAGTTGGTTAAAATGGGAGCCAGGCAGTTTTGTTCAGCTGTGTGCTTGTGGAAGTAAAGAGGCTCAAGGAGCCAAGTGGGAGATGTCTGCAGATATTAGAAGAAAGACCAGTAATTCTAAAAGGGATGGTGCCTTTTGAAGTTAGCCTGGCTTCAGTTTTCTTCTTTTGCTCCAAGCCACAAACCATGTCAAATATTTCCAGGGTACATGGCTTCACGATGTTCTCTCTAATTATGTGGAGATTTTTGCTTGTCAAAAAAAAAAAAAAAAAGAAAGATTTTAAGGTTGCCTCATGACAAGCTGGGACAAGTTCCATTTTGTTAAAGTTCCAGCCTTTTAAAATCAAACTATTCTTATGGAAAGACTTATATAAATACAGGTATTTTCCTTTAAAAATTACTTTAAATACTGGTAGATTTCAAACACAGAAAAATACAGAAGATGAAGTAACAAATATTTCATGTACTTCTACTCATGTTAAAACTTTGTAACATTTACTTTAGTTTTTTTATATTTAAACAAAACGTAAAATAGAAACATTGCAGCTCCTAATCTTTTTCCTTTCATCTGTCTTGAGAAGTGCTAATAATCTGAATCTCATGTATTTCTACAATACTTATATTGTAAAACTGATATTAAAGTATAATAAGGTATTATGATAAAGTATATTACTTTACATAATATATGCATTATTATGTGGACATTTTAGAAATTTATTTATTCAATTTTATATTTACTTTTGAAACAAGGTCTTGCTATGTAGTTCAAGCTGGACTTGAACTTGCTGTCCCACCCAGGCTGGGAGCCTGAGGCCAGAGGACTGCAATTTCACCTGGGCAACTTAGGGTCAATCTAGTGACCTGGCAAGACTCTGTCTCAAAATAAAAATTTAAAAAGGCTGGGCATGTGGCTCAGTGCAAAGTCCATGGGTTCCATCCCAGTAACAGAAAAAAAAAAGTCTAAGTTCAAAGTCTTATCTGAGACTCAAGACAAACTCAGCAGTGAGCTCTTGTAAAAAACAAAAGAAGTTAAATACCTCCAAGATGTAAGGGTAGGGATGGAATGGGATAAACATTCCTATTCCATAAGTGAGAAAAAAGATAGAAAGGAAGAATTGGCTCTAAACAAGATCAAAGCCCAGCAGGGAAGACATTAAATTCTAAAGCTCCAAATCCAATATCCTGGGCACCCTGCAACTAAGGGGTGGGCCCCTAAACTCTTGAGCAGCCCTGCTTCTATGGCTTTTCTGGTTGCTGCCACATGGTAGCTCTCTCTCAGGCTACACACTGATGCAGGTAGCTTTCCAAGACTGGCATGGCACACGGCTGGCCTTTTCACCTTTTGGGGTTCCCACTTTAGCTCCACTCCCACAGCTCCATAAGACAGTGCCCCACTGAGTGCTCTCTGGCAGTTCCAACTGAGCAGAGAACTTCTGCCTGGACTCCCAGGCTTACCTTGGAAATCTCAGTGGAAGCCGCCACGATTCCACAGTCCTTGCGCTATGCACACCTGATGAACACTCCATAGATGCTGAAAATTTGCTACTGGCACAAGCTGCACCTAGACTTGTCTGAACCACAGCTGCAGTCATGCAGTGCTCTGCAGTGTGAACACAGGCAAAGAAACCCCAATGCGTCCCTGGGTCAGATGATAGTATTTTGAGATGACTGTTCTTGTTATAAGAATTGAGTATGTTTCAAAATGGCTGCAGCTAGGATAACGGTTTAGTTTTGTGGGTAAGGAGAAGAGATAAATCAAGGAAGTTTCTGCTTGAACAACTGGATGGACGGTGAGACCATTTATCAAGATGGGAAAAAATGAGAAAGGAATGGGGTGAGGCAAATGGAGAAGCGGATGGAGAGTTTTGTTTGGCAAAAGTATATTAGAAAGGATACGAGCCATCCACACGGAGATGTCAAATGGGCAAATGCAGAGCGAGAGTCTGGAATTTAGGGAAGAAAATGTTACTTTGAGACATAAATTTGGCAGTGATTTTTAAGACTGTGGGATTCCATGGAATCGTCTTGGGAGAGAGTATTGCCTGAGAAAAAAGAGGGCCAAAGACTATGTCCTGGGAAGACCTCAGCTTTTAGAGGTTAAACAGAAGAGGAGTGGGTAAAGGTGGCTGAGGCTGGAGGACAAAAAGAAAATATTTTTGGTAATTAAAATGATACGAATGAAGAGTTAAAGAAGGAAGGGGTCATTGCTTGCGCCAGATAATGCAGACAGGCTAAGTAAGATTTTTTTTAGGACGGTATAAACACTGCTTTTTTTTTTTTAACATGAAACTTGGTGATAATTCTAACAAGCACTGGGAGTGATTAGTGGAGTGGGGGCATCTAAAGACCATTTGGAAATTATTAGAGGAAAAAAAAGGCAAAGTGCAAGTAGCAACAGTGGCTAAAGATAATTCTTCCAAGAATTTTGACAGTGAACATGAACTAAAAAAACACAACACTGACCAGATTAGATTCTGGAGTCAAGGGAAGTTTATGTCTTTGAGAGCGTGGTAGCCAGAAAATGGTCCCCAAAGACTTCTATTGGCTAATTCCTGAAATTTGTGAATACACTGTTATCCTGCAAAGGGGAATTAAAGTTGACAATCAATTGACCTTGAAACGGGAGATTACTTTTGATTATGCAGGAGGTCCCAACAATCTTTAAAATGACTTAGGAAGCCAGAGCATGCCTGTAATTCCAGGACTTTGCGAGGCTGAGGCAAGAGGATTGAAAATTAGAGCACAGTCTGGACAGTTTAGTCACTTAGGGAGACCCTGTCTTTAACTATAAAGGCAGCAAGAAGGCTCTATGTTGACTCCCGTTACTGTAAAAAGAAAAAAAATGTCAGAGGGAGGCAACAGAGAATCATAGGGAGATGTGGCTTTGGAGAAGACATAAGAGTATTGCTTGCTTTGAAGATGAATGACGACTACCAGCCAGGGAATGCAGGTGGTTTCTAGAGGTGAAAGAGAGAAGAAATGGAAGAAAGAAAGAAGGGGGCAGGGAGACAGAGACAGAGTTTTCTCCCCTAACCCTTCCGAACTCTTCTGGTAAGGGAATGCAGCCCGCTGGCCTCTTGATTTTAGCCCAGTGAGTCCAGTGTGGGCCTTCTCTCCTACAGAAATGGGAGATGGTAAAGTTATATTGCTATAAAATTTGTTATGAGAACAAATGGAAAGCTAACACAGAGGGAACTAGAGATCACTTATGTGCTTAAGGAAATGACTAGTAGAGAAGAAATTGATTATGCATGAAAGACAGGCATAATGGTAGGAGCAAAGCACTTGGAAGAGAAGAGACAGAATAGGGCTGTGCTTGAGAGAGGCAGAGGGGAACCATCTTAAAAGGGCAAACAGGTGCAGGAGGATAGGCAGAGCTGTCTTGGGAAGACGAGGATCTCTGCTCTGACACTGGAACAAACAATCACGGAGGCTTAAGGGAGGATGTGAACCAGTTATTTTGGGACACAGGAAAGTAGGCTTACGAGGATTGTGGACAGTGTGCCCAACACAGTAGACTGTGGTCGCACATTTAAAATAGGGTTAGAAAGCATGCCGCACTTTCACAAACTAACCTTATTGATCACGTATATACAGAGAGGATGCTAATAATAATAATCTTCAGAATTGAGGCTGAGTAAGAAAGTTTGGACATGAAAAGCAGTGATAGGTAATGAAAAATTGGTAGGATCCATGTAAAGAATGGTCAGAGTAGGGGGTAGTACAGTAAGCTTTCTACCGGCGGGTAGAGGTCAAGGTTGGAAAACAGGATGCTCAGAACAGATTCAGGAGGTGCATTTACAAGGGATGACCAAGTCAAGAGACTAACTTTGGGAATGCATGACTGGGGAGGGGTAAAGAGAAAAAAAATTATTATAAGAGGCCAAGGACCTCGGATGCCAGAACATCGGATAAATTATCTTTTAGATGTTATCACTACAGGGTAAACATAAATAGGAGCAGAGGATAAGACTCACCAGCTAGGAGCTCCGTGGTAAGTAATAGTGACAGGAAAATGGGCTGATGACAGAAACAAGGAGGCTGCTTCTCATGGGAGATGCTACAGTTCAATGGCATTAAAGCCAGCCTTTGGGAGACTTGCCAATCATCAGATATGTAAAATAAAGATAGTTCTGTTCTCCTTGATATCTAGTCAAAAGGAAAGTTCTCTCTTATGAGGAATACATTTGATAATATTTAATGGGTAAAATTATGACTGCCCAATATTTATATTTGGTTTTCCTTTTTGTTGGGAATAGTATGAAATAGAACCTCGCAGAGTTCAGATATTTTTCAGTTTTTTTTCCCTGATTCTGAAGAGCTCCTTTAACTTTTGGGTCCCATTGCTATGAAGAGTCACTGAAAATGTCATAATACTGTAGTTTAGAGGAAAAAAAGTCATGTAATGGGGAAAATGCCTCCTCTCAACACAGATCTGTCAGTCTACATAGAAGAATTACAAAGTGTTAAACATCTGATTATAGAGGACGCTGAAGACATGCTCAGAAGTAAAGCAAATAATAGAGCACTTGGAAGACATCTGGAATTTGAGTTAATGGAAACGTGTAAGCTGGATTGGTCACAAAGTCAAACTACTGAAGTAAATGCAAAATTAGAAAAATCCTCACCAAATGTAGAGCAAAAGGCAGAAGTCAGGATAAGAAGAGAGGGCAAAAAAGATATCTCTCTTTGTAGCTGAGTAATACTCCATTGTATAAATATACCGCATCTTTTTTATCCATTCTTCAGTGCATGGGCATTTGGGTAGTTTACAAGATTTTGCCATGACAAATTGTGCTGCTATAAACATGGGTGCACCCATATCACTGTGGTACGATATTTTTAACACTTCTGGGAAAATACCCAGAAGGGGAATAGCTGGGTTAAATGGGACCTCTAATCTTAATTTTTTGAGGAATCTCCAGACTGATTTCCAAAGTGATTGCACCAGTCTACATTACCACCAAGAGTGCAGAAGTGTTCGTTTTCCCCCGCAACCCTTCTAGCATTAGTTGTTAGTTGATTTCTTGATTAAAGCAATTCTTAGTGGGGTGAGATGAAACCTCAGTTTTGTTTTTTTTTTTGTCTTTTTTGAGACAGGGTCTCGCTATGCATTTCAGGCTGGCCTTGAGCTCACTTTGTAACCCAGGCTGGTCTTGAACTTGCAATGATCCTCCTGTCTCTGCCTCCCAAGTGCTGGGATTACAGCCATGTGCCTGGCACAGTGTTGTTTTAATTTGCATCTCTCGAATGACCAATGATGTAGAGCATTTTTTCATGTATTTATTTGCCATTTGTAGTTCTTCATCTGAGAAGTGTATATTCATCTCAGATGTCCATTTTTGGACTAGGTCTTTGAATTCAGGGGTCTGATTTTTTTCAATTCTTTGTATGTTCTAGATACAAGTCCTTTGTCTGAGGGACAGTGAGCTATAATGTTTTCCCACTCTGTGGGTTGTATTTTCATCTTATTGGTGATTTCTTTTGCTGTACAAAAGCTTTGTCATAGGATGAGATCCCAGTTGTTGAGTCTTTGAAGTGTTTCCCGTGTAGTCTGGGTATTGTTCATGAAGTCTGTGCCTACTCCTAGGCTTTTGTAGGTAAATGGATGCAACTAGAGACCATACTCATAAGTAAAATAAATCAGACCCGCATATGTAAATACCGTATTGTCTTCCTAGTATAAGAACCTAAAAGAGTAGATAAAATCTGAAAGGTACAATAGATATTGTGAAAGGGAAAGAAACTGCTCAAAAGGAAAGAAACAACTGGGATAAGGGAAAAGAGAAAAGAAAGAAGGAAGGAAAAAATAGATATATACACACAAGATAGCTAAGATAATTGTACTACTAATTTCTATTGGTTTATTGAAAAGAACAGTTAATGTCTAATTGTTTGATCAATCTCGCATACCTATATCTGATAATCTGTACTTTGAAGATAACAACATGTAATACAACAACCATTGCTAATTTCCTATCATCTTGTTCAGAAATTCTTTATCATTTTTATTGTCTTTGTATTGTTTTGTTTTTGTCTTTGTTTTTGTTATTTTGTTTTTGTTCTTTTCTCTTTAAAATAAAAGAGAGAGAGAGACACCTAGAAGGCCAGGGGATACAATCTATACCTAATAGGAACTCCTGAAACAGAGAACAAAGCAAATAAAGCTGAAGCAGTAATTAAGGAACTAATTGAAGAAAATTTTTCAGCATCAACAAATAAAGTAGGCCTATCAATAGAAAAGGCTCACAGGATACTTTTACAATTTAATAAAAAGAATGCCGCACCTATACTCTCCTGGTGACTTTTTTAAATTTCAAGGATAAAGGAAAAATTTTAAGGTATCCAGACAAAGACAGCAGATTATATATAGAGAGGAAAATCTGACCTTGGATTTTTCTCTTATAATTGTAAGTGCCAGAAGACATTGGAATAATTTCTGCAGAATTTTAAGGGAAAATAATTTTGAACCAAGAAGTATATACTTTGCCAAGTTATCACTTCTGTATGAAAGCAAATGGAAGACTTTCTCAGATATCCAGGGGTTAAGAAAGTATATCAACCAAGAATCTTCTCTGAAAATGTTGCTGAATGATTTACCGCAGCAAGCAGAACATGAATTAAAAATAACTAAAGAGTAGGGAGATAATTGCACAAAAGAACTGATGGTAAGCATTAAAACTAGCTAAGAAGAAGAAAGCCTAAAATTATTACATATAGGGCAATAAAACTAGATGCAAAAATAGCTTTGTAAGCTAGATGTAAAAATTTCAGTTTATGTAGTTTCAAACTGTCAAAGAGCATGTAAAATATTCAATTCAAATACTCTTATATTTTTGCCATGTTGGATTAAAGATAAAGATGCATGTTGTTAAGTCAAATGTATATAAAATAAAAGTACTTTGTCATTGCGGACAGGACTGTACAATATTTTCCATGTTAGTCTAACAAATATGGAAAATAGTACAGTTTTATTTCTCTTAGGTTTAATTATAGAGAAAAAAAACTTAGCAAGTTTGTCCGTAATGTTAAGACTGAGGGTATAAGAAGAACATTTCTAAAATACTGGTTGGAGGGAAGTAGATAAAACATTTTTCAATATACTGAATAGAGAAAAATGATGGTTACTGCATTGTATAGTAGTTCATATAAGCCAATTTATTGTTGAGTGAACAGTGGGATATACACATACCAAGCTTTTGGAATTAAATGGAAGTGAAAGACCAAGAAAAAGCAGCAAAGGAAAAATAGCAAGGAAACTTTAAAATTAGTATAAAAGAGATGGACAGAAGTTATCATGTTCATGAACTGATTAAATTCCCAATTAATAATATCCAAATTGAGTCAAAAATCAATCTCTGGCCTGGGATATTCATGTTTATGTAAAACAAAGGTTAAAAGAGTTTTAAGGTGATAGAAACTCTTCAGGTCACAGAAGTAGTAAGATTTTTATTAGGCGGAAATAAGGATATTACAAGATATTTTGCATAAGAGTTAATGTAAACTAGATCTAAAATAACATGGCATTCACATGTAGGATCAATTTTCAGTATCTTGATGTGGTTGGTAGTTTTATTGTTGTAAACCAGTATCTGATACATTTATTTTGTAATGTACATCTGAAATTAGTCCATTTTATGTACTTAAACTTCATTTGAGCAATTTTTCAATTACAGATTACATGTAGCCAAAAAACCTATCAGTTTTTCTGCTTACTATATATTAAATACTGGATACATCTGCACGGGAAGTAACATACTTTATGCATCATTAAATAATAAAATCAACAATAAAGTAAGTATGAAACAGTATTATAGAACTATGTTAGAAATTAAATCATGTCATAAATTAATTCATAATTTTTAAAGTTTTATAATATTTATAGTATTTGTCATTTTGATTAAATTAACAGTTACAAAAAATTTCTTGCTCATTCTAAATATTCTTTTTCTTAAAGAAAGGCCACCAAATATAAACTTTAGACACCATTAAACCCAAGCCTTCCCTAGTTAGATGAAATCTGGCTTAAGATTACCTGCAGGCATTAGAAAAAAGGAAAATTTACTAGTTACATAACATATAGTTAAAGAAAACATATGGTTAAAGAAAACAAAAATAGTTGGAAAAGAAAAATACATCTACATGCAACATAGATGGTAGAATTTTCCCTAGTTTTTTCTTAAATAATGAGAACATTATGTAATGTAATGGGGCCACATCTTTAAAATCAATCTACAGAAGAGTAAACATTTTGTAAAGTTCTTTCTTACCGTGTTAATCATTATGTGCTTATGACGTAATTCAGTGAGAAGGGAAATAAGACGTAGAGGTCTCTACTGATCTTCCATTACAAAGCAGATTATAACATATCTTGGAAATCTGCAAAGCAGATGACTTGTACTTCCTATTAAATATGATGGATTAAAAATTTTTTTTGTGTGATTCTGGAGATTGAACCCAAGGCCTTTACACTGAGTTATATGCAAAGCCCTATTTATCTATTTATTTTGAGATGAGATATCCCTAAATTCCTAAATTGCTGGTGCTGGCTGGGCTCAAACTTGTGATCCTCCTGTCCCAGTATCCCAGAGTCCTGGAATTACAGATGTCTGCCACTGGTTTAACACATTTTTAACCTCTACTCTCTCAAGTAACTTCACTAAAACAAAAGCAAAATGATAAACCACTAACAACAAAGAAAGAAAATAAGGACAAAACTTTTGAAGGTGAAAGACAGAAAGCTGATAGGTTAGCAGAAAAGACAAAGGTGAATTCTAACAACCTAACAGAGGACAAAGTCAATAAGAAGTCATCCTCTGTGCTGCAGACCCTTGATGAATGGTTCAATATTGGAAGCAGCAGCATACAGTTCTGCAAAAGCAAGAGACGGGGTGAAAACAGAAAGATGAGTTGTAAATCAGCACAGGGAACACTGACGTTCTGTAGTCTTTTCTGCGGGGCTCAACAGCAAGGAAGCTGATTCTTGTGATTCTGGGAGTGGACTGGAAGTTCAGATGCTATAGATACTGAATCATAAATGCCCTGAATTTCAGAACACCAGCCATACGGAACATAGAGTTTGAACAACAACTTGCATGTTGAGTAACGACACTCCACCCATCTGCTTTCCTTACTGGACACCTGCAATAGTTGGTAACTAGCAACACAGGCAGAAACTACGTTTTCTCACGGAAACTGATCCAGCTGAAATAGAAATGCCATAGATGTTGACATATGACACACGCCTCCACAAAATCCCTGCATCCCAACAAGCCCCAGAAATGACAGCTGTCCACCAGCAGCCATACCCTTTCACAGGAGAGCTCCCAGTCAGCTTTCTGAAGCTGCAGTCATAAATACAAGGGAACGGAAGGCTGATGAGCAAGGCTCTGACGTGAGACGAAGATTAAAACAAACAAAAGAAAGAGGAGAGCCAGAGGCAAGAAACAGTGCAGGGTCAGCGGGAGAAGCTTTAAAGAATCTTACATCTTTAAAATTTAAGGGGAGAGAAAAGATGCTGATTACACGACATCAGAACAGGATGCTATGGAAAAGAAACATTCAGAGAAGAAAAGGATCTCAGAAAAAACAGTGGTGGAAACAAAAACTCAATAGGAAAGGTGCATACAAAGTACAGGAAATGTACATGAAAGCAGAGGAATATGCCGAAGTGGTGGAAAACAGGAGAAAAAGGATTACAAACCTATTAAGAGGACTCCTAGCAGTTTAATACCTACTTACCAGAAGTTCCAGAAAGAGAGAAGGGATAAAGTGAAAAGAAAGAGTTATTGAAAAAACAGGATAAGGAAATTTCTGCATGCAAGGGCAGGCAGCAGATTAAAAGGGTCCACTGAAAACCTAACATAATCATCAAAAATGTTCCAGTTAGAGCATCTCTTCCGGGTATTTCAGAAAATCTTCAGAAAAACTCTCAGGGAGAAAATAAAAAGAATCAGAATGCCATGAACCACATCCATAAAAACAGGAAGATAATATATTGATACTTTCAAATTATGAAGTAAAACGATTTCCAACCTAGGGTCCTATGCCCTAATTATTAATCAGCTGAAAGATAAAACATTTTCTAATATTCAAAGTCTCTAAGAAGGTGTTATTTACACTATCTCCAAAGTATACTGGAGGTACTCCACTAACAAAGGGTGAGAATCAAGACAGACGAACAGAGAATTTAGGAGGTGGTTTGCACAGAAAATGACTCCAAGATGTTAGGAAAGTACAATCCCAGGACGACCACAAAGGAACAGGCCTTCACATCAATCCAGGCTGAAGCAGGGGGGCTCCAGGACATAGGTAGCTAAGAAAAGGAAAACTAGATTGGATAGATTACCCAATGTGATACACTGCATTGAGAAGGGCAAATTTGGGTATAAATTTATGAGTCACATATAGAAAAATACACTGATTGAAAAAAAAAGAGGCCCGTTTTAAACAAAAGAAAGGGTGCTGGGCGTGATGGTGTGCACCTGTAATCCTAGCACTTAGGAGACTGAGGCAAGAAGACTGCTGAGAATTTGAGGCCAGTTGGGTTACAAAGTGAGTTCAAGGACAGCCTGAATTGCATGGTAAAACCCTCTCTCAAAGAGACAAAAAAAAGAAAAAAAAAATTCTGTCTGAATGCAAGAAAAGGAAGGAGATAGTTGAAAAACAAGGAAAAAGTTACTTAAAAACCCCTGGAATAGGTAGTCATAGTATACCACACGACCCTGCCATTGTACATTATTGGACAGAACAGTATTATTAATCCCATATGTTCCAGAAATACTTGTATGGATGTCAAAGTGACTATTTCCCAATACACTATTAATTATTTCAACACATATAAATGGGGTGTTTTGCATCATAGTTAATCCACTATTTGGAAAACATTAATGAAGACAATATTTACAGTGAGTTTCACTGAAATTTTACTATTAGGGGCAACGTAAGTCACTAAAATGACTAATTTTAGGCCAACTCAGAGGTTCTCAACTGCCTCCCCGTGAAACATTTGGCAATGTTTCAAGGAGGATGGCTCCTACTGGCATCAGCTGCAAATCAATGATGCCACAACGGACAGGGCAAACCTCAAACCAAAGACCTATCCAGCCACCAGTGCCACCTGTGCTGAGATTGGGAAACCAAGGGCCCGGTCTTTGAGAATTATTTCATCAGAACGCCACACATAAAGATTGAGGATATGCAAACATCTTGCAATTTAGGCTGCAACTGACTCAGCCAAAATCCTGGCACAATGACGACAGCAGTCTGGCTGTGAACTGTATCTTTGGGAGTACTGAGAAAGGTAAAGACAAAGGTTATAATAAGTGATAACAATAATAAAACACAGCGCTTTGTACCTCAGTAATCTCTTTCATCCATGGTTCCTAGGGCACTTTATAGACTAATAATAACTACTCTGTTGCTCATATACTACCTTTTATCTGGTGACTTGGGCATTTTCATGACGCTTTCACAATGTAGCAAGTATTATTATCCCCATTTTATACGTAAGTAAACAGAGGTACAACAGTTAAGCAACTTGCCCAAAGCCACACAAGTCAGTAGCAGCCAACATCCCTGACTCAGAGTCGATTAATACTAAGAAAACTGGTCTAAGAGATGCAATGATAAATTTATGTTCCGTAAGTGTTATCTTGGTTCATTCAAGATCCATCCTTTCCAGGTTAATATTTTTAATCTTTTTGTTTTTTTTCCTCTTCTCTCCTCTTTTTGTTTTGTTTTTTGGTGCTGGGAATCAAACTCAGGTCCTTGGTTTGCCAGGCAGGTGCTTGTGCCGCTGAGCTGTATCCCCAGCTCCTCCCTAGACTCCTTCCAGAGACTCAGATAACTGTGATAAATTATGGACAGAAGCGGGTATATTCAGTGCGTTCCTTGAACCTTCACATTGTACACGCATTGTCAAATGTATACACCCGCTTAAAATATATGCCACTATTGCTGATTTTCACAGCAGACAGCTGCTGAGTTTGAGGATTCAAGCATATTCTCAGGATCTCTCAGCTCCCTGACCTGTTTGTATCCAGGTTGACTATATTCTCTTTCCACTATATCCTGCAGCCTCTCCCACAAAAAAACCCTCTAAGTTACAAAACGCGCCAATGGGAATACATTTAGCACTCAACCCTCCCTCCACCTCTCCTTAAAACTCAGAACACAATGCTTCCATAATTGAGAAATTTCGGGTGGTGCACTCAGGTTGGTGCCAGCAGGGCAAATGGTCACTCGGCCTCTAAAACCTATCCCTAAAGGAAGTCTCTGATTTTCCAAGGAATCTCCCGAGCTTTCTCCCGGGTACCCACCCTGCACGCCGAGAGGCAGGCCGAAGACGAGTTGCCCGCCCTTCTCTCACGGCAGTGACTCACGTGTCCCTTTCCCAGTCCCACAGCGGGCACCCACGGACGGCTCCCCTACCGTTTGCCACCTGGGCAAAACAGGCCTGGGCAGCGGGAGGGAAGGCTTCTGCTGGGTCAGAGTGTGACTCAGGGCTCTCCCACTGCTCACAAAATGGAGACCTGGCACCTGTAGCCTGCGACAGCGATGCGCCTGACACTACTTGGGTATGGGGAGGTGCCGCGCAGCTGCGGCCGGAAATCGCGGCCGCTGCGGACGGGCGGCTGAGGAGCACGGAGAGCAGGCACCACCGCCGCTCCGGGGCAGCGCGGCCGCCGCGGACCCCCGCGAAGAGGAGGGGGCGAGGCTGCGTCAGCAGGACCCGAGCCGCCGGTGCAGTCAGCTCGCCCACGCAGCCCTGAGCAGCCTGACACCCAGGCGCGAACTCTCGCCCATTCCCGGGCAACTTCGGTCCCTCCTACCGCGAGCCCTCCCCGGGCGCGACCCCGCGGAGGGCGGCGTGTCGGCGCTCCCCGCCCGCGCGCCGTCCCGCCCGCCAGCCGGTCCCTCTCGAGAGCACGCGGAGCTCTCCCTCGAGTAACGCGGTCTGTACCTCCGAGGGAGGGAGACGCGCGAGGCGGAAAGCGAGCGGGCAGGCGGGGACAGCCGCTCGCGCCCGCACTCGGGGCGCCGGAGCCGGGGAGTGTGCGGTCCCGGGGAGGGC